CCACAACAGCCCCTGGCGGGGCTCAGCTGCTGGAGGCTATGGGGATGCAGCCGCACTGTCTGTCCCCACTCCAAGTCACCCTGCCACCACCCCAGCCACAGCCAGGAGCTCAAGCAGAGCTCCCAGCCTGGGCTGCTGGTGCTCAGGTGTGGGATGAGCCAGCAGTGTGGCTGGGGGCTGCTGCCACTTGTCCAGCTCCTACTTCAGCTTCTTGTTCTTCTCCAGCATTTGCTCCTTCATTGAAGGGCCCTCCAGACTGGCTATGCACTGGGCAGGCGCCTGCCCTGGCCTCCCCTGCACCTTCCTGGCAGCCAAGGCAGCTTCCTCTGCCCGGCCATGACCTCGTCCCACAGCCCCTGCCATCTCACAGCCTCCAACAGCCCTGGGGACGCAGCCCTGACCATCCAGCAGCACCGGTTGGATGAGCAGCAGCTGGGGAACAAGCCACTGGCATCTCTGGCCACACGCCTCATGCTCTGGGGCATGGGGGTGCTGGGGGCCCTACGACCCCAGTTGCCCTTGCCTGGCAGTTCTCCAGGATGCCCCTCCCACAGGCTAGGGTGCTTCGTGGCCCCTGACACCACTGAGATGGCGTTGGTTTGGCCAGGCCCAGCTCACTGGCGTGGCTGCACTTCTCTCATCAGTGTTTGCCTTTGTGCTGGCTCCTGTCTCCTCTGCAGGCACTGTCATGGCTTTCATTCCTGCAAGGCTGCTGATGGATAAGAAGCAGCCCAGCTCTATGCCAGGGGGGGCTGAGGACCCTGGCCCTTTGCTCACAGCTCCGGGTGTTGGCTCAATGCCTTGGGTTGTTTGGCTGCCATTGCAATGTGGGTTCCTCTGCACGGTGCTGGTACTGCCCAGCCAGGGGCATGGGCAGATCTCCCTCTCTGGGAGGCAATCCCAGAATACATCCCAGCACCCCGGGCCAGTCAGTCCTGGGCATAGTCACGGGCTGAGCCTTTCCCGTGTGGTGACCTGCCCCTCTCTGGTGACCTGCCCTCATTGCTGGCAGAGGCTCCGGGGACAGCCCGGCTCCGGCTGGAGCATCCCACAGACCGGGGTGGGCTGGGGGTGCATGCGGCTGGGGACACGGTCCCTGCCCCGAGTCACGGGCCGGCATCTGCTCTGCCGGGGTCCGTCTCCAGGTAACTTAAGCCCACA